TAATACTGTATGTCTGGTTACATGACTTCTCTGTGTGTCTCTTTCAGTCCAAGAGCAGTCTAGATCAGATGGAGAGCCAGTCAGCTGATGCAGAGCCTCCACCTCCTCCCAAGCCGGAGCTGCGTTACCCTGGCCTGCCCCGTGCTGACACGGAGGGTGAGACTCACACACATGCACACACACATAAATACATAAGTAAATCTAGTTGGTTGCAGGTATATCACCAGGCATGTCTAACATCTAAAGCAGCCCAGATACTTCAAGTGTTTTACTTTTTATGTCAACAGCTGAATGTTTTCTAATCACAAGTGCACCTCTTTCAAATGTCACTTTTGTTTTTTTGCTACTCAGAGAGCAGCTTGTTGACTGAAGCTCCACCTACACCATCAATGTACAAGTACCGACCAGCCTACAACAGCCCAGGAAGGAACCACACTGCCCTCACACACCCCAACAAGGTACATATCAGTTTACATTTGCACACACCTAAAGGTACTGTGTATAAACTATTAACATATCATTATGTAGATGGTGTATATTGATGACATTGAAGGAACAATTATCGTAGAGTGAAGTTAACTGCATGTCTCTTCCAGATGTAAATCTAAATATATTCATTTAAATACACACAGCCATGTTGATTATTTTATAGCAAGCTTGTTTTAGAATTTGTAAAACGTGGTCAACCTTATTGCACAAAAAGAAGTGAAGAGAACAAACAATATCCAATAGATTACTGTAACAGATGGTCTGGTGGCTGATATGCCCCGCCCCTTCTAATTTCCTTTGTGGTTAATACCATGCCCCTCTTTTTTGTTTTTACTTTAAATTGATCATTCAGTGGCCATCGGTTGATCAGTAAGTCTCAGCTAGTGTCATCTGTGTGTGTGTATCCCTTTGGCTGTCTCTGTGTGTTCGAGTGGATCTGTCCTTTCCCCTGAGACTGCATTGACTGGAATGTGTAGTTCATGTACTGTATGTATTCGTATTTCCATGTATGTGTTGATAAACACAGTCTTTGACATGCAGTGTCAGTGCTTGTTCAAGCCAGTCAATGTTTCCAGTCCACTAGTGTGATGATGGAGTAGAGCACCGGTCAAGCATCCAATTTATCCCTACCACTCTTTTTTTTTCTGTTAGAATCTTTAGAAAAACAGTTGTTTTTGTGCTACAGCATGTTATCAGTTCCTGAGGTAACATTGTGCTCTTCATCTTTCTTCCCTCTCTCTTTACTCGCCTTCATCTTCATCACAACTTTGCTCACCCTCTCCCTACCTCTACCTTTGGTCTGTTTTTTTTCTCCTCTCCTCAGATGATCCGTGGGGAGAGCCTTGACTCTCCATCTCCCTCCATCCTCATGTCCAGCCGCCAGCCGAACTACCGCTCGGAGCCGAGCAGCCTGGACGGGGCCACAGTGGTGGGGGGAGGTGTAGGGGTGCGCAGAGGGGGAGTGGAGAGGGGTGAGGGCCCCGGGGGCCCTGGCGGGACTACTGGGGGATTATCAGGGGGCATGTCAGGTTACTCCCTGACTGGGCGCTCCTACACCTCCTACCCATCCTCTCTGGTTCTGTCCACTGGCGGCTCCCGCTCCTCCAGTCTGCGCTCAGCGCACACGGCACATAACCCGCTGGCCACGCTCCAATCAGAAGGCACCACAGACACCAGCTACAAAAGCCTGGCCAATCAGACGCCTCGGAACGGCAGCCTGTCCTATGACAGCCTGCTGACACCATCCGAGAGCCCAGAGTTCGAATCAGCCGCTCACGAGTTGTCGCCGCAGAAGCCTCATGCTCTGTTTCCCTCAGCGACTGTAACAAGCCAGCCTGAGGTGGTGTCACCCAGTACCCGGCTGCAGGGCTACACGTCGCCCTTCCTCTCAGCTCAGATTGCCCAGCAGAGGGAGGGGCAGCTGCTCCAGGGCTCTGCCACTTTCTCCTCCCCCCACAGGGCCTATCTGCGTGCCGTCAGCCCACCCCCTCCCTCCTCTGGACCTCCTGAGATCCAGCACCTGCTCCAGCATAACCAGGACTCTTCTTCCCGAGCCTCTCGTAATCCTTCCTCCTCATCCTCTTCTCCTGGGGTTCGCTCACTAGAGCCCCCTGTCTCCCCACCACCTCGCGGCCTCTCCCTCGGCAAGTCCCATTCTTACACTGGGGAGGCAGGGCCTCAGCACAAACCTCGGCCCGCAGGAGGAGGCACTGTGCCAGGAGGGGGAGGAGCCGGAGGAGGGCAACAGGCTCCACAGTGAGTAGTGATCCGTCGCCAGATCCGTCAGCCTGCTACTCCTCCTCCTCGTTCTCCTTTTCCTCCTAATACTCTTCTTCCTCTCTGGTTTGTGTCAGCCCTCCTCTTCCTCCCTGATCTGTGTGAGTCTTCCTTTTCCTCCTTTACGGTTTACATCCAGCCTTTGCTTGTTTAGGGTTTAACAGTTGGATGTGTCAATGGAAGCTGTATTGGTTCAGTTAATTGGGAATGTGTGCATTAGTGATAACTGCATGCCAGTATGTGTTTAGCTCCGTGAAAGCATGCCTAACCATACTGCTGTTTCCGTCCTTGTTCTTTTTCTTACTCACGAAGTATAGTTGCCAAATGCCTTACATGATCAATGGTAGAGAAACATTTTGCTGTTTGTTGTTATTTTTGAAGTAGAACCACTCACCTCCACATCCATTTATCCTCTGTCCTCAATCCTAATCTTCCCCCCCTCCCCTCCCTGTCCTGATGGCTGTCCAATCAGATCCACCTCTCGCCCAGTCTTGGGCAATCACACCACATCCAAACCAGGGGGCGGGGTGAAGAAGGTGACAGGCGTCGGAGGGACCACTTACGAGATATCGGTTTGAGTGACAGACATCCATCGTGGTCTATCACAAGGAGTAAGGGGGAAAAAAAGTCACTGGACTACTTCCACTTACCTGAGCTGGATATTATTCACGACTGCAGGCCCCTCAAAAATGACTGTTCTCTACTGACACAGACTAAAGGAGCTGGCCTGTCTGGTACTCACTTTGTTATCTTTGTAATGCCACTGGCCACTCTTCTCTGCTAGCCTTTCAAGATTTGAACAAAGAGTAAAAAGGGGGCAATGGTTCATTTTTCACAGGATCAGTGCGCCACTTTGTGAGCCATAGCCTGATGTGACTGTCTCATCATGGCTGGGTACAGATATGTCTATAGAACACGCATAGCTATTCAACGATTTGCTGTTTTACTTTGGTACATTGGCACACAGAGTATTGATAACCATGTCCGACACTTAAGGAAAGGATGGCCTTTATCCAGTGGATGTAGAATTTTAAAGAGGGGGGGATTTAGGACTGTTGACCAGTAGAAACGTTTTCTTCGCCTCCGTCTGAACGGACCACACTTGTTTATTGATAAGTCATGGAGAGAAGAGTCCAACCTATATACACAGTATCATTTTAGTTTTATAAATCTTTTTTTTTTTTAAATATTGTTTTATATAAATGTATAAAATCTTACAGACTATTATTGGGTCAAATTGTCAGGTATTGAGGGTTGCAGACGTACTGTGTGTAATTATTCATGAAAGCGATTTCAAATCAGTTGCCTGTTTATATTTAATGGCTGCATCAGCCACTCATGAGCTCTTGCTGGAATTGACATCGTCCAAAGAGAATGATGATCCTTTGGTGGACAGCTGAAGTGGCAAATATTTGAGCTTAATTTTTGAAAGCCACAAAGAAATTCTGAATCACAGTTGCAGCACAAGCATCTTTGTGGAATGTACGCTTGTAATGTTTATGCTAGACATTATGCAAAATCTGTTTGTAGCTTTAAGATCATTGTATGTCTTTTTTGGTGTTTTTATTTTTTCTTATTTTCTGTAATGTTTTGTCTGTCAAGATGCTAGCAGAACCTTATACCTTTAACAGATGGCCAGCCAAATAGGGGCAGCGAGGGAAGGGCTTATTTATTTCTCCAGACAAAACAACCTTTTAGTTTTGGACACAATTTCAAACCAGTTTCTCTAAACAGTTTGTTCTTTATTTTTTGGAGAAAAGATGTATGAATATATTTTAGGAAAAAAAATATTATAAATGAAATTGTAAATGCGATATGCCACCAAATAGATTTTTATGGAGGGACTGGTTTGCAATTAGAGACTAGATTTTTTTCTCTGCCTTGAGACCATTCATAGGGAAGCAAGCACATTTGCTTTTCTGTTTTTTCATTTTTTTTTTACACTTTTCTGAGGGAAAAAAATGAAAAAACAGAAAAGCGAATGTGCTTGCAGATTAGATTTTTTTGATTGACTCATTGGAAATTCTTTTTTAAAATTCTGTAAAGGTACATTTATTTATTTTTTATCCCAAAACCATTGAGAAAGGAAGGGAGTCATGTGTGCGAGTTTGTGTCTTTAAGGTTCAGGCAGTAGAGTTAAGGTTTATTTATTTTTTATTTTTTTCTATCAAGGCCCACAGTAGTATTTGCAGTAGAATGTCAAAGCTGGCTGAATGTAACACGTCTTTGGGGAGAAAGTACACGCTTGAAGCACACAAGTATCATCGCTCAACTCAAACGACTGCGTTACAAGTTTTCAACCCTCCCAGGCTATGTCTTCAGTGTGCATGTGATTTTTGTTTGTCGTGCTGAATGCTTCACTGGCGTGCATACTTGTGAGAATATTGTCAAATGCCCATCCGGTTCATGTGTGGGCGGTAACAAGAAAAGAAGCGTCATTAATGGCACAAGCAGCCATCATACGGAGATAAAGAGAACCTGTGTTACTTTTCTTCCTGCTCTGGCCAAGGACGGTGACCACTGAACAATTTGAAACTATGTGGTTATAGTAAGTATACTTCTATGTGAGATAAAATATTGCTATTGTGGGCTGTGATGAATGGAACGAGTTTCACAAATATCTGTATTGAGTACATTAAAGACATTTCCAAAATGGCCTTATAAAGAATTTTTAAAAAGATGTCTTCTCAGAATAAAAAGGTCAAACTGATGAAAAACTGGAAGCCTTGAGAATCTTAATTGTTCACACTTTTTTTTATTATTTCGGTTTTCTCATCTTTTACTTTGGTTTTGAAATGTGAGACATCAGTAAACACTAGTTGCAAAATACAGACCACAAAGGATTACATGCAGTGATGAGCTGGTTCTAAAAGTTGCCAAAAAACATTACAAATCATTACAAAAAAGGCATCAATTCCCAGATCATCCAGTGTGTAGGATTCAGACGCATCTAGCGGTGAAGCTGCAGACTGCAACCATTTGAATACAGCTCAGCCTTCCAAGAGTGTGGGAGAAAATACTGTGGCGGTTAAAACTCATGGAAAACCAGTGTTTGGTTTGTTCTGGGCTACTGTAGAAACATGGTGGTTCAACATGGTGGCCTCTGTGGAAGAGGACCCGCTCCCCCGTAGATTAAAAAACGTCCGATTCCAAGGTAATGAGAAGAATTCTTACACTAATGAAAACATACCTTTGATTCAGTTTCTGCCAATACAACCTCCTGAATGTCACATTCTGTCATAAAATATCCACAAATCATTACTTATCTTTTGCATGGCTGCAAACCACGCTGCATCATACCCAGTCAGACCAGGGAAATGTGGTCCAGCTTTTTAGGGTATCTATTCGCCACAGTAAAGGTTAACCATAGAGATGACATCTAGTAGTGCATGACGCTATTTTCCCTTTTTCCATGCCATCATTATTATGGACATTATTATGGAATAATGTAAGATATGGCAATGTCAGAAGAAAATGAACGACTTTATGCAGCCCCTCTCTGAATCATCCTCTTCAGCTCACTGGTCTTTCTTGCTCTCTGTGGGCTCCTCTGGGTTGTCGGTTTCAGGATGGAGCTCGTCACCGCCCTCTTCTGGCTGAAAGCCGTTCTGCTCCTCTTCTTTCAAGCCGTGACCTTTGTTCAGCTTCTTAGATTTTTGGAAGAGCTCGTTGAGGTTAAACTCTCTGATAATGTTCTCCTATGGATGACATATGCATCAGATTAGCATTTGTGTGTGATGTGAGGCTGTTCCGAACTACACTTACACAGTATATACTGTTTGTTGTTGAAGACTTACCTCATTGAAGGTCCAAGACACAGCTCTGCCTTTATTGTCCACCATTGGACGTCTCATAATTTCCCGCCCTCCTTGGAAAAGCACGAGTGAGGGTAGCTGCCTAGCCAGAGGAGAAGTACTAACCCTGTACCTGTTCAGAAATAATTAACGGGAGAATCAATACCTGCCTACCTGCTCACAGAATCACAGAACAGTTGCAGTAGGTAACTTTTATAAAAAATAACTTTGTTATCTTTGCTGAAACTTTCACTATATCCTGACATATCTTCAAGCTACTAGCCCAAAGCATCTTTCCACCTTTCTCAGCTCTGATTGGTTGTTTTCGTTTTGGCCCGCTGGATTCTTGCAAATGCCATTCAGAGCACAAAGAAGTACAGATTTTACTGTCAGGATAAAGTGAGAGTTTAAGAAAAAATATGACAAAAAGTTATTTTAATACAAATGACCTACTGCAGCTTTAATTAAAACTACTGCTACATCATTAAAGAACAGGTGCAGAGTGGAAGAGGCAAGGAAATGACTAACCTCTGTGAAACCTCTCCATAGCGCCCGATGTCCACCTTCCCAAACCTGAGTCCAGGACAGTTGTACCTACAGAATATAGGGGAAGACATTTAGGCCTCAAGTCAATACTGATATCCCTGATGTATTAATGTATGATTGTGATTACTGAAGGAAACATTCAATGTGTATTTAAAAAAATAACCAAAATGTTAACTTTTCAGTATGCAATTTGGAAGTTATTTTGCCAATTTTCCATTTAATACATGCTTTTAAAATAAAACACACTATCTAATACATCAAAGACTAAGAGGAGACACTAATAAAAGACGAAGATTATAGCATACAAAGTGTTCAGCAGATTAAATTAATATTTTGGTTTTAAACTTGTGATTGTTAATTATTGATGAGGGTTATCTTCTTCAAGCAGTATACTTCCTCTTGAACAAAACTCAGCCAATCACAACTATATCTATTGTACCAATAATTACTAATTAACCTGACTCAGGCACTGTAGGGCCTCAGTATCTTGAATACTGGGAGTCCTATATTTACTTATGTCTTACTTGAGAGACAGATCGGCAAAGACAGGAGCAAAAGACTGGCAGTCAGAGGACCAGTTGGCGTAGAATTCAACAATCCAGGTGACTCGACTGTCTCTCTGCAGCTCCTCCTAATGATTCAATCATACAACATTAGATTAAATCGAATTATTTCACATTCAATTAACATACTATATTGGCATGCTACTGTTTTTACACTCACATCTATGGTCGTGTCACTGAAGTACTTGATGTACTCTGGGCCCATGTAGAGAGGTGGCTTACAGGTCATGATGAATGCTGGAGACAAAGCATAGATAAACAGAGGTTCTAAAAATAATAGCTTTAGTTAATAAATGTACACAAAAAACCTAAATGCATTGTTTTAAGTTAGGAGCCGTTATTCAATTTGGTTTAAAGGAAAACTTTCATGGGGTGTTTTTTCATATTGCAATAGCCTGTTTAAAGTGATCATATACCAACTAATAATATATAACAACTAATCAAAGCTGATACAGTTTGCCAATAAATAAAGGAGTGATAATAACACATTAAAGCTATGCAGTGTCCTAAGCAGACCGGCACGCAGTAGGTGATCAAGACACTTGAGACCTCTGCTTACATTAGTAAAATTAATACATACAATAAAACATTAACATTAAGGGAAAAAGAGGAGATGTGCTACTTCATACAGCAAATTTCACCTATTTAATGGGTTTGTTTATTGTTTGGACCAGGGCTGCCAAAAGTTGGTTTGCTGGATGTTTATAGCAATTCTGTTAATACTTTATAATAATTATGATATACATTTGCTGTTTTATTTACTGTAAATTAAAATATGATCATTAAAAAAGTAAGATTCCTAATTATTTTTCATAATCTGAGCATTGCAGAAGTGACACTTTGCACAGAAAGTCAATTAAATTAATTAACTTGTGATCTTAGTATAATTTTACATCTTAACTATAGGTGTTTGCTTTTTGCCTATGACCCACCATTAAGTTAAGTTTTGGCCCTCCAAGAGGAAAAGGTTTGGGCGTTTACGCTGTCATCTACTAATAAAAGTACATATGTGTCCTGAAGGATACCCTGCATGTGTTGTTGCTGCAGTATTTGTAACGGGGGTTGTTAAGGCCACTGACCGACACACAGCGACACGTAAAGGATGCCGAGCCGAATGTCCAGCCTGAAGAAGAGGATGACGTTGGCCACTTTACTGAACAGGAACAAGTTGCCTATGTGCTGCTCAAGAGTGACTGCGGAAGAGGGAGAAGAACAATGAATGGAGCAGAGGGGAAAAATACAACCTTCACAACTGTTGATTCAAGGTCAGAGGAAGGCCTGATTACACTGTAATGTTTACACCACAAAGCAAAGTTTTTAGTAAAGCACTCCCTGGGTGTGGCTTAGTGTTGGGGGTTTCTCACCTGCTTTCAGGTGAAGGATTTTAAACGGTTACACATTAGGTCACAAAGCTATTTGGTTGTAGTTTAACAGTTACACATTATAGGAGACACATACAGTGTCCTTGCTTTTTGGATGTGATGTTTAACACAATAAAACCTAAATGTCAGTTTAAGTTAAAGAGGTTTAATTACATTTCTCACATGCTGACTGTTTATAGTGTAAACAAGCAATTATCATGTTATGAGATGAGTTGGTTTACACATAGACAAATGTGTGTGTTTGTGGTGTGTGGGGGGGGGTTACTTACTCGCTCTCCTGTTCTTCATCATCACTATAGCACTGAGAAACATGAGGATCTCCAGTTCTCTCTGTAAAACAAAAAACACACCATTAAACAACTTTGTGATTATTATATTATAAAAGTGAGTAAATAAGCAAACTCATCTCACAGCAGCCAACTCAGCTCCACCATATTTAGCAGCACTGCAGTGAAACACTATCCCCACCATCCCCACCATGCTCCCGTGCTCACCCAGTCGAAGTCGCAGGAGTTGCCGTCCTCCCGCTGGGTCGCCAGGTACTCGCACAGACCGGGAGCCTTTCGGACCAACAGGAAGGCGACGGTCATGAAGAACGAGGCGATATAATAAGGCTTCAGCAGCCATTTGTAAATCTGAGGTAAGTGGTACAAGAAAGTACAGAGTCCTGTGATCAAACCCATGCTGGCGGACCCGACAGTCACCCTCTGTGAGTTTGAGGAGGAATGACAGCTGAAGAAACTGACTTTGGTTCCAAGTGGGGACTTGGTCGAGCTGCGCATGCGCCAAATAAAACGTACGTCGTCATTTCTGGGCGCAGCGGCTCGCCGTAGATTTGGCGGGTGTTGTGAAAAAAAAAAAAAACATAAACAGAGAAAGCTGGGGGAAAAAATGGAGCACAGCAAAGAAGTAACACAAAAGAAGACTTTAAATAAATGTGTCTCCGGTGAAGAGCAGACTAATGAGGCAGGAGCTGTTGGTAAACCGACCGAGGAGACGGAAGCTCGGTATAACCGGCTCAAGTTGTTCGACAAAGTGATGCAGAAGAGCCTGGAAAAGTTCATCGACCATGCCAGGTAGTGTATCGTTTGTGTCCCGAAAAATAGTAGTGAAACGACGCTGTACTTGTAGTTTGTAGCTCTTGTGTTCATCTGAACCTCAAATGACATATTAAATGTGCATGAGAGACATTTGTGTCCAGTTAAATTAGTTTATGATGATCTGAAGGTTCAATCGGTTCCAGACTAACATGAAGTTACAGGTTGAATCACTTTATTACCAAAATAGACATTCAATACTTCAAACACGTCTATTCAAAACATGTCATTATACAATTTGTATATATACTGTTTACTACATATAATGGAATTAATATTATAAAACTTAAATTAAACTATGTAACAAATAAAAACAAACAAACACTGAAACAATGTGAAATGTGAAGCTGACTCACAGCTGGTGTAAATAAGTAAATAAGGATAAGGGACATGCAGCATTCATATACTCCTGCTCTAAGAAGTGCAGACCTTATTGAAACTACCTGCTTTTTTTAATGAAATTATTGATTACTTGAATGAAACTTTCATACGTGTGTAATTCTTTGAAAATAATAATTAATAAGACTTCTGACCTTTACTTTGTTTTCCTTGTTCTCTACATATTGATTTGTTTTCTAAAGGATTAGTTTTAGGCAGCAACAAATTATTATCTTCATTATCAACACATCCCTGAATGATTATTTTTTGATTAATCAATTGTTGTTTAATATATAAAATGTCAGAAATAATCCCCAGAGCTGAAAGCAATACCTTCAAGTCGCTTATGTCCAGCACCCAAATATATTCTATTTAGATAATATAACACAGAAAAGCAGCAAATATTCACATTTGAGAGGCTGTAAGCGGTGAATCTTTAGCATTTCCTCTTGATAAATTACTTAACAGTCACTCTGTAATCAAAGCTGTTCTGAGATATTTTTCTGTCAATCAATTTATAGATTAATCAATTAATCATTTAAGTACTCGATTAGTAGCCACACTTCGTTGCACTTTTGGTTGACGATGCTTTCACTCACAGTTTTAACAGATTCGCCAGCACGTTTCGTCCTCTGTACAAGAAGAACCCCCAGAGGATGGAGAGCATTCACAAGCAGTTCATCGAGGAGTTGCGGAGGACTATACAGGTGTGCAGCACATCACATTTAATACCATGTATGAACTAACAACATGTGGATGGTCCTTGTTGTTTGTATCATGTATGTGTATGGAGTATGCACTGGTCTACCTGCCTGTATTATTACTTGTTTACATGAATGTCTGTGTGTGTGAAGGAGGACATCAGCAGATTGATGGAAGAAGGTCGGTTAGATTTCAAACTGAATGAGTTGGACAAAATGGAGAGTGCTGCAAAGAACAATCAAAACCCTGCATGGTCAGTAAACAGCATTAAAAAACTCTTCACCTTTTAGCACCTTCACTATCTGCTGGTTGTACAAATCATTTCCTAACATTCCTTTACCATCTCCCTTGTTCTGGTAGGCGGCCGAGTGGGGTTCCTGAGCAGGACTTTTGCAGCTTTTTGATGCCATACTATCAAAAGCAAGAGGCCTACATGCAATTAGAGCTGAAAAAGATTCGGGCAGAGAATGCCGCCCTGGCGCAGAAGGTTCAGGCTGGTAGAGAGAGCGTTACTCAGACTGAAAACCGGATTTCTACCGCTGTTGATGAGTGGAAGGTAAGGGGAAATGCTTGAGTCTTTACTCTAAAATGTATTTGTGACATTAGATGTTACCTGGAAATGAATACACTAAAGCTCTTTTACATAACGCATGGAAGAGATATTCTTTTCATTTTTGTCTTTTTTGTAACCGCTTTTATCAAAATTACATTCCTCATGTATACTTAAATAACTTTGATATATATATGGGCTTGGTACAGATTGAAGGAGGCCACTGACTGACAGCTGTTGGACCAAAAGACACCTGTGCACTATAACATTAGTAGAAATTAAACTTTGCATTGAGTATTAACCATTTTTTTGTATGTTTCCTCTTACTTTTAGGCATCAGTCACAGAGTTTGAAAGGCTGCCATCTTCTCTCTGCCCCACTGATGTCTTTGATGTGTGATCTTCAAGTTATTTGATACATCAACTAACTTAAATGTACATATTGATTTTGTTCTCTATGTCTGTTTGTCTAAAAATAAACTTGAAATCTTGGAAATAAAAAATGTTTGGAGACCTCCAGTGGTTATTAAATCCGTGTGGGCCAACAATACAACAACCATTACGGTAACGTGCGTGTCTGTGTGTGGTATTACGGTACGTGGGCCATGGAAATGATGCCACAAAGAAGTGAAGAGTCGAGTAGTTGACACGGATGGATTCGTGGTGAAGCTCCATCCTAACAAGTAGCGAGGGCCGTACGCTTAAAGAAACCGGCTTTTTCTTTTCTTCCCATATAAATGTATAATTTGTGACAAATATGACGGAAATGTTTTCAACTCTGTTTGGGCAAAACGACGCTCAGGGAACACCCGGCTCGTCGTCTCTGGGGTTCGGACCCGGGAAGCCTCCGCCGCCGCTGCCGCAAAATCAAGTCTCCATGACGGGGCAGATGCCACCGCAGCTCGGGGATGAAGGGCCTGTTCTGCGGAAGCCCGGAGCCATGAATGAACCTTTCTATTTACTGCGGGAGCTTCCTGGTACTGTCGGACTATTATGATTGCTTTATACTTTGTATGATATTTGTCTGTTAATCTGAAGAAAGAGGCTGAGCTGGTAACACAGGTTGCTAAGCAGTTTGTAAACAATGCTAGCGTTAGCTAATATTTGTCAACAAGGTAACTTAAGTGTTGACGAAAATATTGAGTGAGCTCGTAAAAGGTATTAGCCCAGCTGTTTTAGTTATGTTGGGTTGGTTTTAAAGTTGACTGTGATACATATTTCCAAACTAGTTTCCTATGTTTGTTTGTGTTTTAAAGTTAAACGTCATGTAGCATAACTTAAACTGCAGAAATCATAGAAACAAGCTTCCCTGAACTAACATCAGCTAACAATGCTACTAGTTCGCAAGGTGTCTAACTCAGCTACACATGACTTGTGGTGTTTGGATGAATTAAATTCATATAAAACTGTGTGTTTAGTGGGAAACGAGTTGACGGGAAACACCAACCTCATCACGCACTACAACCTGGAACACGCCTACAACAAGTTCTGTGGGAAGAAGGTGAAGGAGAAGCTCAGCAACTTTCTACCAGAGTTACCAGGTGGGTTTTGTGTAGTAGGGACAAATGTGGGCTGACTGTCAAGTGTTAATGATGAGGGGGTTTGCACACATACATTATTAGACAAAACAAGATAGGTATGGGACAGTATGAAAGTTTTATCTTGACCAACACATCAAGTGCAGCACACAGTATTATCACAATAATCCTGAAAATGTACTTAATACTTTTAAAATGGCACTGAAACAGGAATTACTTTACTTACTTTACTTTATTAAGAAATATATATTTATTGGAGATAGGCACATCTCTTTATTTTGGAATTTATACTATTTCCACACATCCTGTTAAACTTTATTTTGTGGGGGTTACAACGGGAAAGCCGAGTCTTCAGTCATGGTGACAGTCTTAGGATTTTGTAATGACTGGAAAGATGGAGGCTCTCCCCGGTCCCCTTGTTCAAAATAAATCAGTAAGTCTATATAAGACTGTATGCTGGCGAGTTAGACAGCTTTTTCAAGTCAAGGCATGTGAGGATATTCATTATCACAATCATGAAGAGTTTTTGTCGTGTATGTGATAACATTGCATGTCATCCTCTCCCTAAATTAAAGTAGTGATTCATGTTCAGAGTAGGACACTAGTTTCTAAAGGAATTTACCATTGATAGTTGTTCTATTCTGTTCCCTCATTGGAAACTGGCAGCCTCACATTGGAAAAGGACCTTTTGTCTTAAAGGGCCAAAACTCCAGCAGCACTTGCAGTATTAAGAACAATTAAATTTGTAGACTGGCACATTACACTGGCTTATTACACTGGCTTTTGACCGTTTATCAGCTTTATAAATAGTATTAGGCTGCTTTTACATAGCGATTTTCTGCTCTAACTGGCAAAGCGCTCATTCACCCATTCACACACAGATTGCATGGCAGTTTCCACAGGAGCAACTTAAGGTTCAATGTCTTGCTCAACATGTAGACAGGAGGAGCAAGGGGGTCGGACCGCCAACCTTGCTATTAATGGACGACCTCCTGAGAGACAGCTGCCACCAAAGATACAGGTCAAATGATAACTCGGATGAAGGCAACAAGCTGAAATGCATTGGTGTAACAGTAAGGTTGAACATGTTGAAGTGTTGCTGTAGTATTGACCTGTAAAGACTACTCAGAGCCAACTGAGCTGTTATCCCAAGAACCACACCACACCTGTCTTCTGTAGATGTTGAGATATATGTAGATATCTTTTATTTATTTGATTACCTTCATTTTACCAGTAATATTCCCATTGAGATTCTCTTTTACAAGGAAGTCCTGGCCAAGACTGCAGATAATGTTTCAAATACAGCAGACATAAAACAAGTGTTTTCTAAAACTGTCAGATAGGAGGAGGAGACTTTGTTGTGAGACGAAACACACAAGATACCAAGAAATATCACATACATCTGTAAGACTGGTCTGTGAGACCATCGTTGTTGTTCAGATCTGATCTGGAAATTCCCTACAGCAGCAAATATTGAGGTCAAATGATGTCAGCTGAATGAAACCCCAAACATGCCACTGTTTTCTAACATTAGCTCACCATCCCAATACCCTTCCTGATTGATTATTTATTTAATTGTGGGCACAGCTGAACACCTTTACAACTGAATCATTGTGTGCCACCTTGTCATTGCTTAGGTTTTGATCAGTCCTCTCTCTTTTTGCCTGCAGGTATGATTGACTGTCCGGGCACTCAGGACGGCAGCTCGTTGCGCTCTCTGATTGATAAGCCTCCAGTGTGTGGGAACTCCTTCAGCCCACTGACCGGCGCTCTACTCACAGGCTTCAGATTACACACAGGACCGGTACTAATTTCAAAACAACACACACAAGTCACACACATTTTCAACATGTTGACTCTGATTACTCAAATTAAAGTTCCCTTTAGTTGGAATATTCTGGTCTGCTACATGTATCCCTCATTTTTTAAATTATATTGCTCATTTCAGTACTTACACTTGTGCATGTTTTTGTGTTTGTTTTTTCCAGCTCCCAGAACAGTACAGACTGATGCACATACAGCCTCCAAAGAAGAAGAGCAAACACAAGCACAAACACCATCGACCACAGGACCCATTGCCACAAGGTATGACAAACTAAACTATGTACACAAGCGCAAAGGAATGAAACGTGTTTTTTAGGTCACTGACCTGCTTGTTCTTCACATCACAGAAACTCCTTCAGACTCTGATCCCAAGAAGAAGAAGAAAAAGAGGGACGATGATCCCGACCGTAAGAAAAAGAAGAAAGACAAGAAAAAGAAGAAGGTAAGAAATCTATGAAGACCCCACTAATTCAGTGATTTTAGTGTATTAGTGTTATTGTGGATCCTAATACAGAGATAGAAGACCAGCTGGGACTCCTACCCTGATCTTCACTACACCAACCCCTTTCTTCAACTTTACTATGTGAAAACTTGAACCTAATTCCAAGTATTTAACCAAATACTAAAACCTATCACACTAAAACCACTTTTAATCTAATAAGTAAACTGTGTTAATTGAGTTTTGGCAACTAGCGTGCTTCACAACAAGTTTTTAGACAACAGCCTTGACTTAATATTGCTTTATAAAGTTATGGCTTACCTATTACACTATTACACTTAACTAACAGTTTTTAACTTATATATTTATCAGATACTTAGTAACATTATCATCCCATTCAAATTGTGTTTCTGAATACCTGACAATTGTAAGTATCCACTATCCTTTTAGCTGTAGTTCAGTCTTCACCAGCTTTATAGGAAAATCTCAGGGTGTTTAGCTTTATTCACCAGCCAGTAGCTAATGTTGTCAGTCTGTGGTTCGGTGCTGCTGGTAGTGTATGTTGGGTTTATCAGAACTTTGTATGCTGAAAACGACTCCTGCAGGAAACAGATTTGAGGAGAACAGCCTAGACTGAACACAGTAGATGTAAAGAGGATAAAATCCTCTGCAGCGCTGCACTGAACTCTGGGCGACCTCTTTCACATCACATGTAGTCACTTAATTCCGTGTTAATGGATGAATGAAGTTTTAAACATCTCATTTGATCTATGATTTGCAGAATTCTTGTATCCATAATTTAGTCTTTTTGTGGCTTTTGAACAAAACGTCTTTTGTTTAAATTTACCGTTCACAAACTGTGTTACTGCTCTCTGTCCCTCTCCAGAACCGCCACAGTCCCGACCACCCCGGTCTCGCTGGATCACAACCCAACAGCAACAGCCTCAGATAGACAGGAGCCCACTGTGTGCATGCCTGTGTGTGTGAATGTGCATTTTGTAAGAGGATGCGTGTGTTTTACAGATAATTGTATTAATAGGGAATATGTTTAATGAGAGGGGATGAATCAAATAATGCAAGTGTGTGTGTGTGTGTGTGTGTGTGTGTGTGTGTGTGTGTGTGTGTGTGTGTGTGTGTGTGTGTGTGTGGAAAGGAGCAGCAACACAGTGGATGATGGAAAGAAATGTTACAGAACAGTGTAAAAGGCAGAAAGCCACTGATGAGCTGTGTAGTGTTATGAATGACTGAGCAGGCACTGTATGTATGTCCCTCTTTGATTTTGTTGTATATTGCCATAATGCCAAAATCAAATAAACTTTGGTTATTATCTTTGCTTGCGTCTCCTTGTTATAGCTCTTTGTGTGTTGGTTGATAATACGATCGGGTGCACTGTGTTGTTGTGAGAGAAAAATGTCACTTTAGACAATACGGTTACATTCATACATTTATTTGTTTATCAAATACACAAGCTGGATATATTGATTGAAGGCAGGAAAGACAGGCGTACATTTAGCAAGACCAACACTTCAATTCAAAGTTTAAAGAGAGAAGATTAGATAAGCCGCTGTAGCTGATGAAGCAAATGTTTATTTCCGTTGTAGCGACTGTCAGGGGTGTTGATTAAACTTAATTCACAACAATTCAGCCAGAAACTATTGTAAATCCCAATTACAACTGCATAAGCTCAAGATAGTCACATTATCTCGAATGATTGAATGAACCTATTGGCAGTATGTGTCACCTTTGATAGAGGTCTGACAACAACTCACAGAGATACAAAGAGGTCAGATAGTCATTGCTGGTACATTGGTTTTAAACAATACAAAATACTGTACTGCAACACGAGGAAAGTAACAACATACACACCGAAATGCACTTACCAGTATTATATTAAAAGAAAAAAACAATCGTGCTTAATCAACACCTGTGACAATCAACAAAAACCACACATTATGACCAAACTGGTATTCACTGCAGAACTACTGCAATGTGTTTTAAGGTAATCCTGTTAATTTACTCCTGTTTGTTCTCCTGAGGAAAGGTGCCGTACTACGGACTAGCTTACAGTCCCTACACATGGCTTTGGTTTACAGACAAAAAAGTTTGGCAGAGGCATTAATCTTACATTCATATCTATTGCAATAAAGCCAAGGTGGCAGCAAAGGCACAGAGTTGAAACAAAATACAGAAACTCCTTCAAAGTGAGAGCAAAGATTCAAGAAGCTGAACTGGAAATCACGAACGAAGCAGTAAAAATCTATTAAAGCTGTCTTGAAATGGATTAAATCAAACAAAATTACACATTACAACTGATTCCAGAAATCTACATGTTACTGTATCAGTGTGCAGAACAAACATACACAATAGACACATTTGGTGTTGCTTTGGATGAAAGTGCATTTTTGATCTGCACCCGGCTGACATAAGGGGATCAAAGGCTGGTTTGTTAATGTGACTTTAAGCATCCATAAGGAAAAAGTCCCATAAAGAAAACAAGTTTAACCGCAGCGAGTACCTCCTCAGTCATCAGTTAATATACTGTACACACCCATATATAGTAAAGCAAGAGAATATGTAATAAAATACAAGACACACCTCAGTTCTATTTACAAGGAGGCTTGATTGTTCCAAAATCAGTACGTGACTAGAAAAAAGCAAAAAGGCAAAAGCAAATATCATATGTTCAGCTCATCAAGTAAATAATCTAAGCTTCATTTATAATTAGCACACTACAAAATAACATTTGCTGATAGTGAAACAAATGCTTCCCTTTTAAATGCTACTGCAGCTAGAGTATAAAAAAAAGACACTTAAATACATATTTTATACACACACTAGTTAATTTCTGTGCATAAAGCAGTACAAAGTGTTTGATAACATTGACACACACTGTGTGCCACAATTTTAAAAGTCAGTCGTATTTTTCCATGTGAAATTTCCATCAAAAAATATATTTCCTACACAGAAAAATTCCAGAAATGTGACAAATGTGTACTGTACTGATTAAATCTGGGTGTTGGAGAATTAAGGTATTAATATTTCCTAATGTGGAAAAAATATATCCTCAGACATAGGAGTTGGTTGCAGAGAGACAGTACAAAAAAAGGAAACAGAGGAGGTAGATATGGTGTCTCTACAACCAGGCTATCTGTGCGTATACGTGTGTCTGTGAACTAGCTTCTGAAAATGCCCCAAAAGCTTCTTTATACGTACCAGATGTCTGGTATTCCATTTTCTAGAAGTTTTAAATGTTCTTTGATAGCTTGTATGCTTTTAATAGTGTTTAATAGATGTATATGTATACCTTTGGCTAAGGCGACGACAGTAGAAACAGCACGATATACCATGGGTTTGCGTCATTCAACACACTTTTGAAACAATACTGAAGTAGAAAGTGTAACTTTCCTAATATCGTTAAGGTGTTCTTTGGTGTTAGCAAGGATTGTGATGATTATCTTTGAAAACTATATAACAGTATTTCAAGTACCATGATATCTGCAGTCTGACACACAGGCCATACCAGGATGTGTGCATGCGTCTGTGCGTGTGCTTGTGATTGAAATCTATGGCTTTAAATTACACTAATTTGGCTCTTTGACCTAAATCAAAATAAATAAACAGCAACAAATGATGATGACACTTGCTTCTCCCAAATTCACAAGGAACTTAAAGTCTAACTGGATCGTAACAAAACATGGAGGGCTTCTATTTGTGATATGGTTTGTGGTGGGCAAAATGTGCACCAGCAAGGACAAACAAACAACAACACTGGAAATATCAAAACATGAATGAGTAGATTGCTGGTGCTCATTTTGAAGCCCCAATTCCCCCAATTCTCAGCCCTATGGTGTCAGTCTAAGCCTCCACAGTAGCGAGGCCGTTGCTGTGCGGTTTGTAGCCGTTGGCCTCGGTGTGGTTGAGGGCCTGCAACTCCTGTCCGGCTGCCCGCTTGTCTCTGGCCTCCTTTTCCCTCAGTAGGTGTCTGCGGTGGTAGAACAGGTAAGCAGGCAACAGGAAGCCGGCCAGTGAGAGGATCAGCAGGCCGAGGTTGATCTGAAGCAAAAGTGGATGATATTAATGATTTAAATGTAAATTTGGCTTTATATTTGTGTCTCAGTTTTAACCATGTGATTGGAGTACAGACAAAAGATTTTGAGCAAACAAATATCTTTTCCTATGCTCAAAATGTCTCATTGCACCCACACAAACACAAATATAAAACCATACATCGTCTGCGAGTCTATGGAGTTAAGTGTGAGAGATAAGTGTGCATCCGTACCCAGTAGGGGTCTCCTTTCAGTGGTCCAACCATGGCGATGAAAAGCGGCTGCTGCAGCAGAGCGATCACAGCGCTGATCATGGACTGGAGGCCTGTCAGGGTGCCAAAGTGGTTGGATGGGTAGCTGTGGGAGAGACACTAATGGTTACCAAGAGTTTGAAACACTAAATGAAATGACACCGAGCCCCAGATGAATATGGAGTTGTTTCTGTGGTATTAACTATGATAGAGCACAGAAGAAGCAATCTAGTGGACAGTGGACATGATTCAGCTCTTATTACTAGACTATAGTTTCAGTTTATTCAATATTGACTCAAACAGTTCATGGATTTTGTTAAAAGAATATGTTGAATGGTTGCACACATGGTTCCAATGTGTGCACACATAATACAGCATCCCCTACTTTTGTCATCACATCTGGTTGCTTTTATCACACTGTAAAGTGCAGCTTTATGTTTGGTGTTTATATGGTGCTGGAAACAACTCTAAATGAGTCCGGAAAGAGTCTACTGTTTCATAGCCAGATCTCAATTGTTATGCTTTTATAAAGTTAAATGTTTATTATCTTATTAATGAAGTGGAAAATAGAGACACATTGTCCGTATTTCTACTTTGTTAAAAATATATTCAATTATAACACCACTTTAACGATTGCTTTGTGAGACATTACACCCCTGACGTTATGCTTTCCCATTTCCTCATAGATGTGTGTGTGTTTAAGAGAGCTTCAGGTGATGATTTAGCGCTACAGCACTCACACAGCAGCATAAAGGCCTCCACAGCAGGAGTGGATGAAGCCTCGGACCATAGTGTGGAGAATGAAGGTCAAGATCTGAACGAGAAAAAGAGAGAAGAGAAGACAATCAATGGATCTGAGCACTGCAACTATTTATTCTTTACTAGTGTTCTGGCTGCCATGTGTGTGTTTGTCTATGCGTGTGTGTGTGTGTGTGTGGTACCTGTAGAGGCAGGTTGTCTATGAGGCAGCACAATCCGAAAACGAGCAGCAGCATGTTGGTGAGAATAAAGGCTCTCATGGCGTTGGTCACTTTCTGGATCTTACTGTCTCTCTTGGGTCCACTGGTCTGTCTGATGGGCCCACAGGAGTTTTATTACTGAACCGCTCTCATTATAATAACACCATCTGACATTCACATGTATGTCTGGATGCATCAAATAAAAAGTACCAAGTCACGACTCATGGCATGTACCTCTGCTCTGTGCCTGGGGTGGAGGTCTTCTCCTCTTTACACTCCTTCATCTTCCAGTCCATGATGTATCCAATCAGAGGACATGTGGCCAGGCACAGCAGCTGCAGAGTGCCAAAGATGGACGAGTAGAAACTCACTGAAGGAAAAAGATATTAAATCAAGTTAAGAAGATAAAAAAAGAAAGATGTGCCAGACATGTTAAAAGTATACGAATTTATAGCCATTTAATTAAGATACACACCTTTCTCTTCGGCCTCAATCACCAACTGCTCAGATGCTGAAATAGAAAAAGACCAACTCTGTCAATAACCCTTAGATGTGTTTGATACAATACAATAAAAACCCAGTAATAGTTTGCGGAGAATGTGATCAAGGGGTTAGACACTCACGATGCTCTTCACCGTGGGTGACCATAAACTCCAGCATCTTGTTCATCGCCCCCATGAAGAAGATGATCCTCAACTGGGACATCCCCATTGTCACCAGACTCCACAGGAAGATGGGAGAGAACACGGACCGACGGAAGGGAGCAGCATCTGAGAGAGGAGGAGAGGGTCGGCGTTATCCAACATAAAAGTTACAGTGACATACGTGAATTTATTTAATTTATTTACAAGTTGAAGGCAGGTGATTAGGATTTCTTTCTTATCATGTTTAACTGTACAAATTGTCTCACATCCAGTCTTTCACCTATTTGTCATCTTGTGACCCCCTGAGATATATCTTGTGAAGTCAGATCAAACAAATTTTTGTCTTCTTTTAAATGACTAATTTTACATCTTTAGACCTATAAGAACTATTAAAAAGCTTGATTTAAAGGGACACAAGCCAAAAAGAATGGGA